TTTATATGGCGCACAGTAAATTTTATAGATTGTGCGCCTTCCGCACAGTGATTTTTTATTGAAAAATAAACACTGATTACGATATATTGAACATAAAATGATATAATTGTATAATATGACGCGTGAAAATTTAATAATGGGTTTTAGTGTTTAGTTACACGGATTGTCAAATCAGGGCAAAATACAACAAACGATTTCAGGGGCTAAAATTGTACGACCAAAACATAAATTTTAGATTTGGTGTATTTAGTTGTTTTTCTGAACAGTTATACCGTTTAATTGTTTTAATTGTTGCATAGATTGTTTAAAAAAATAAAAAAAAATATTAGATTTTTTTCTATGATGTATGAAAAAGCTGTCATGTGACTTGTATTAACGTGGTTTCACTAACAGAAAATTTTTTATACAGATTCAAACCTAAAAAAAAGGAAATACCCAAATTTTTAATTTATTTATCAGTATGGCGGAAAACGTTGCTACAACTTTAGAGTTAAATACTTATTCAGAACCCCCGACAATTATTGCAGAGGACGAAGATGGAAACACTTATGTTGAAGTTTCGTCAGAAGACATTAAAAAACTTAATCTTCTCTATCGTAAGGTAGTCGAAGAACATTATTTTATCAACTCATGAGTATACATAAACCTTATAATTTTTTATTTTTTAAAAAGGGTTTCAGTAATGCTGTAGAAACTCTTGCTCCTGCTGAACTAAAAGTTACTGGGGAACTTCCTTCATGGCTTAACGGGGAATTTTATACGATAGGTCCTGGTATTTACGATATAAAATACAACCGCATGATTGAAAGTGAAGGAGGAGGATATGAAAGTGCTACAGAAACATTCTCAATGGGTCATTGGTTTGATGGGTACGTAATTATCTGCCAATTATATATATATTATTTATATTTAACAAAGTTGTTTAACCTGATCATATATTAATATTCAGATTACCTCTTGTAAATCGATTTGAGTTGGATGGAAAAAATAATAAAATCAAATATCGATCAAGAATTACCTGTAGAAAATATGAGACGAAAATACGTGATCATCATGGAATCGTTACAAAACATCCTTTTACATTATTCAAGACTCACGTAAAGTAATATTAAAAATTAATAAAATTATGTTGAATTAGTATAAATTAAATTTAATTATATTATTTATACTCTTATATTAAAAGTCAAACGCCTATAGCAAAATTTTTTGGGCAAAAACGCACAGATAAACCTGAAATGGAACCTTGTTCTATTAATATTAGTACAAATTTTCCATTCTATATGTCTGGCGAAAAACCTAAAGTATTTTGTCAGAATCACGCAAGTCAAGTAAGTTAAATTTAATGGAAATCTTTTGATAATAAATTCATTTTTGATAAATTAATTTCTATTTTAACACCTTACATAGGTGGTGGAACTTGAAGCATACGATCTTTCTCCTTCACGGGTTTATTCTTGGGATGATATAAATCCGCTATTTAGAGGTAATCATGCATCTCCTCATCCACATTATGATGAGAATACTGGAGAATTAATTAATTTTAATATGGAAATTCAAACATTGGGAACAAAATATAATTTCTTTTCCATCTCGGAAAATCATCCAAGTGGAGAATTTATTACCAGCGTGTCTGCAAAAACTAGTTATGTACATAGCTTTGCTGTAACACCGAGATTTATAATTTTGGTATATAATTGATAGATTAATATATCTTTTTTGGTTTTATTCGTTTTAAGACTCAATAAGTATTTTATTATTTGTCGCAGGTCGTGTTTCCTTTCTATGGAAAAAATGCCGGTATTAACGTCAAATGGTCGGATAGCATCTTAGATTCACTTTCTTACAATCCGGAGGAACCTACGCTATTCTACGTTATATCAAGAGTAAAGAAACAACTCGTTGCCACTTATAAGTCGGATCCATGCTTTGCGTAAGTGTTTAAATGTGTTTTTTGAAATTAATTTCTCAATTTTTCTTATCAATAACCTTTTAAAAAAATTAGATTTCATCATATTAACGCTTTTGAAGATGATGATGATAATTTATATTTGGATATAGTATGCTATGATAATACGGACATATGTTATGATTTATCACTTGACAATTTAAGGAATGGTTTAGTTGTTGGGCTTCCTTTAGCTGAAGTTCGTAGATTCGTTTTACAAAATGTTCAAATTGAATCATTAAAATTTTCAAAAATGCCACAAGCAACACAACTGGAAACTCTACAAAATACTGTAGTTAGTTTATTCAGGAATGCTTCACATCAATCGATTAATCCTTGGCCTATTGCGAATTACGTTCGTTGTGCAGATTCTACTTTAGAACTACCAAGGTCAGTTATTTCAAAGTCTTTATTTTTTTTAACATATAATAAATCAATGCTTATCATAAAATGTTTATATAAATTTAGAATCAATCCCAAATTTCATGGTAAAAGATATCGTTACGTTTACGGAATTGGTCTTTCAGCAAAAGCTGCTACTCAAGAAGGTCAAATATGGGATGCACTTATAAAATGCGTAAGTAGTTATAAATTACTATGTATTAGCTTTTTGCATTTATATTAAGCTTTCGCTATTATATAGGATTTGGATACTAAAGAGGTTGTTGCCATGTGGGTAGTTGAAAATTGTTATCCTTCTGAACCTGTTTTTATATCAGCTCCCGGTAATGATAATAATGAAGATGATGGTATATTATTAAGTGTTATATTTGAAGGTCAAGATATCAAGAGTTTTTTAGTGGTACTTGATGCGAAAACCTTATTGGAAATAGCTCGTGTTGATTTACCACAAGTAATACCATTATCTTTCGGACATGGCTCTTTTAAACAAATAATTTAAGAATACTTTTCTTTTTTTTATTATAAAGTTGAACTTTTTTTTTTTTAAAAAAAAAAAATTTAATTTCGTTTCTTTTTAATCTTAATAATAATGGCTGATATTGGTTTATAATAACTTTTTTATTAATGATTCGATACATTTGAAGAAACTTATTTAACATTTACCCATGTTATCTTAAATCCAATACAGTTTAATTTAGTATAACTATAAAAGTGGGTTATATCTACCTAAATTAATTTTAACTTATTATTCAATTTGGATTTAATATATTTCGGTGAATTTAACTTTGATTTTTGTATTGATTACATAATTTTATAATTAAGTAAAAATATTTATAAAATAAATAGAAATAGACATGAATTGTATTGTATAAAAAAATAAGTAACAAACTTTGATTTACAAAAATAACTAATTTCTTCTAGATTAGCTAATTAAATAGATTCAAAACGTTATCTTACCTTATTACATATTTAATGAGATTTTAAATTAATATTATTATTTATTATTAATTAATTTTATATTAATATTATATAAGTAAAATTTTACCCTTACATGACTAGTAATATCAAAGGAGTATGAAAAAAATATTTTTCACTACTTAAAATTCTAAATCCTCCAAATACATATAAAAAGTAGAAATACTGAGGGTATGACACTGGATAACAAATATAAAGAAGATGAAAAATTGTTGGTAATACTAGAAAAGCTGAAGTCTTATATCAGTATCATATAATTATATATATCATATAATTTTAAAATGCTTTTTACTTATTACTATTATTTGTTATTATAAACTGTATGTAAAGAATTTTTGTAATAAAATTGACACATTTAATAAAAAAATATTTATAAGCTAAATTATATTTATTTTGAATGCAACTATTAAAAATTATATTATTTAATTATATTGTTTAACTATATAAAACTATGTATATTATTATTTTAAGTATTTATTTTTTTTATTAGCAAATAATTTAATTTTGTATTTTGAATATCTTTAGATATTATGACCTTTTTCAGAATAATAATTATATGTTTTTTATATTATTATTTCGTTAAATTTGTCTGATGTAATATAATTATTTTTTATCATTAATTTATATTTCTTTAGAGATCATATTTTTAGTTATAATATTCAAGGTTTAATATTTCAGAAAGAATAGATAAAGGTTGATAATTATTTTAATAAAAGATCTTTATAATTCTTATAATGATTTAATATCTAAAAAAAAAAAAAATTCTTAATATTTTTAATGCTTTAACTATACTTATGTAATATTTAATATCTAAAAAAAGAAATAATACTTTCAATATTTTTAATGTTTAAATAGTACTTCTATGATATTTCATAATAAACTAGATCAAAATTCTGATTAATTCAATTGTAATATTTTCTATAATAGTAATTTAAATACACATTTTAGCTATAGATATCATAAAATCAAAACTGAACTTTTTTATTAACTTTTTCTCTAATGATTTTAGTATATACATTGTTTATTCTAAATTAATTTATATAATTTAATAATATAAATATATGATTTTTTTCTATTTACAATTATAATAAAATCTGTTATACAGTTAACTCTTGTTATAATGAATTCTATGTCCTAGATCTCAACTTTGCTATAAGACTATAGTAAAGATTTTAAGAGATTTGATTGGTCAATTTGTTATAACAAGAGTATTTTTATTATATTTGTTCAAAAAATTCGTTATATCAAGAGTTCGCTATATCAAGAGTTGATTGTATTAATAATACTAATACGTATAAATATAAAAATATAAAAGATTGCATTATCTAATTAAATAATAATTCTGAACTAATAGTATCATATCATTTCTTGATTAATAATAAATATATAGAAGCAAAGTATTGTTAAATCTTCAAATATAATAATATAATATAATTTAAAAGTTTTTAATATAATATATAATAATTTTAAAATACAAAAATATTACTATATATATAATATTAAAAAGGTCTTATAAATAAATTTGAATTATATCATATAAATACTCTAATATATCATTAAAAATGATTTCATTATTTTTCAATTTGATCAATTAAAATTAAATAAAATAATAATTAGTTCATTTAAGTTCTTTGAATTGATAATAGAATAGGTAATAGATTTGTTTATAATACAAAATTGAGTTCTTTAAAAGTATAATCATTTCTTTTTATAGTTATTCTCTATACAATAACATTATATAAATTTTTTATTATAAGTATATATTTTATAAAAATTAATATTTATTAATACTGTATAAAAACTTCTTTATAATTAGTATTTTTATAATCACATCCTTTTAGAACTAATATTTAGTAACAATATATAAAAATCTCCTTATATAGTTACTTTTATTGTAATTATATTTTTTATTTTAGTTTCAAGGGGTAAAATTATAAATAAGAATGAATGTAGATTTATAAATTAATAGAAGTCTAACTGATAGATTTGATCTATAATAATCATTTATTTAGATATATTAAAATTCTTTATCTAATTTTTACTTAATAACTATTACTGATTCTTTTAATAATATATCTTAGTTAACAAATTTTTTAATAATACTATTAATTAATTTTATATGCTATATGTTTTCTATATTTACAATAAATATTTTTAATATATAATATTGAGTATAAGATTTTTGAATAAAATAAAGTTATTTTTCAAGATACAAATGATATAACTTATAATTGATTTAATATTTTTTTTATTATATTTCATATTGAATTATTTTTTACTATAATTATTTATTATAATGTAAAAATTAATCACAAAACTTGACACAGTTTATTCAGAATTTTAAACTTTGTTTTCTTTTAATATTTTTAAGAAAATTATAAATGTATAATAAGTAATATATTTATGAATATGTTACTTAAACAGCTGCTATTATAATTGACCATTATCAGTAAACAAAATCTTAGATAGAAAGTTATTAGTTATTTATAATATACATTGAAAAATCTAATTAAAATCAGCCTAATTTTTATATTTATTTAATGTTACACTATGATTCTTATTTTATAATTTTTTTTACTTAGATTCTAGTAATCAGTCATCTGAATATCTTGACTGCAGCTTATATGTCCAATATGTCATATTATACCTGAAAATAAACCTCTCCTAATTACATTTAAAGCTAGTCTAAACTGCTAAAATACTAGTTTTATGACAAGCTATGCAACCTGAATGTCACATAGCTAACCCTTGATACTGTTAATATGATTGATTCTAGCTAATTACTAAAAAGAGAAGTCTTTACCAACTTAATTCAGAATAGCTGTCTGACATAGTTGATATACCCATACTGTCAAAATCATCCTAAGAATTGAATTCAGACCTCTCAAACTCTAATTGACTCATAAATATCACAGCATTTCAACTAGAAATCATCTGTAACCTATAACTTTTATTCAATTTAAATTATACAGCATTTATTGACCTGTCATGTCCTATTATCAAGGATGATCCCCTTATAGATGATGTAGCACTTGTCTATTATAAACCAGTCCCCTAATACAAGTTTCAAATTCAATCAGTTTTATGTGTATGTGATCACTTATACAGCTACACAGGTTTACTTATTTTATAATTATTTTTTTTACTTTAGTTCTAGTGATTGGTCATCTGAATATTCTGACTGTAGCTCATATGTCTGATATGTTATTGTATCTAAAAATAAGCTTTTTCTTGCTATATTTTATAATTATTATCTATAATAATAAATAGACTAAGAATTATTTCATATTAATTTATTTTTGAGATAATATTATATATAATAATGTTGTAAAGTTTGGGCTATAAATTATTATATTATTAGCTTATCATCCAAAATAGTTTTGTAATTTTATTAGTCAATTTTTCTAATTATAATATAATAAAATAATCTGAATTATCTTTCTATTATTTTAATAAATATAAAACCCTATAAAAAATTTGCATACGTTTTTTCATTATTATAAATAAGTTTTGTATACGTTTTTTAAAATTCCGTATCAC